AGAAGATTCCATAGTGATTAGCCTCGAGTGTGCGGCAGCGCTTACTCCGGTACCAATACCAGTCACAAGCTGTGGAGGTACCACCGGGAGAATTGTAGCAACCATAGTCGAAGGAACAGTGGCCGTAACGGTGTTGGCAAATATGCTGTACCAGATAGTATCCTTGCAACCACAAAACAGACGTAAATGGACCAAAAAGCTGGCCATCTTAATTGGATGGAGTCTGGTCTGGGGAATTTGTGCAATAGCCTATTGGGCCAGCCTCTGCACCACAATGCCTATAGTGGCGTGGATGATGACCTATGCCGCTATCTTTAAGCCGAGACCTGATCCAGCTCCCCCTGCACCGGAGGGGAGCGATGGCCGCAGAATCTCAGGAGGATGATGAGACAAGCCAATCTAACGAGATAATAAGTAATCAAATAACCAACAACAGCTTTACCCCTCCCCGCTTATGCTGACCTTTATTAACTTTGAATAATTGATTTAGTGTTTAAATGGTTTTTTCTCTTTTTATGTTTGATTTTATTTTTGAATCCTGTAAACTCGAGGTATCATAGGTCTGGTAAATGCTCAATGGATAGCTGACGGCCTGTATAGGCCCAGCAATACGAAGTTGAGTGTTTCAGAGACACGATGAGGACCAAGGGTGGAAACAGACCTTGATTTCATTGCTATTATTTTGCCATGTTATATTACATGTACTCTCTTTTTAGAAAGCATAAGGAGCAGAATGCAGATGCTGTTCTACATCCTGACCACAGCGACAGTCTACGGCAACTGGGCGTTTGCTTTAACAACTCCGGACAAACTCGTAGTAACGACAAAAACCGGAGAAATCATCCTCTGCCACTGTGAAGAGAAAGTGTACGACCACCAGCAGATCCAGAGGATTAGAGTAACCCCTTGTGGTGACGTATGCAAAATCCAAAAAATAGAAACTACAGGGCAGGATAGATACATTAGCGTTACATACAGGGAATACGGCATCTCAAATACCTCAGGATTACTGTTACCTGGGTACTGTGATTGGAAAACAGTGATCACAACCCAACAATTAAACCAATTGGAAGAGTGGGAGAAATTCATTACCCGCACCTATTGTGGGATAGCCAGACGACAGGGCAGAACCACCCTTTATCGGTTTAAGAAAACCTCACTCTAAGAAATAAATAAAGGAAAGGCCCCAACAGTCAAAATGCAGGTTCAGCGCCCCAAAAATATAACAGCAATAGGACCTCAAACGGTCTGCTGTTATTGCCTTTTGGGGTTGGATGATACCCGATTTTTATGGGCCGTAGGTCCAACCTGGTGGTGCCAGGCCTGCCACTCTAAAGTTATAATCGCGACTGGGGTACATGGTATTTTGGTCTCTGATGAGCCCGCCAGCCTCCCTCGGGTGTCTGCAGACAAGTGCTGGGAGATAGAGAGCACCTGCAAGATCATCTGGACCTCGGCTGAGGGCTCTGAACCTTATATGTCTAGTACAGCTATCCCTCTAGGAGCCACATATTACCCAGTAATTGTGAAACTCTGGGAAAACACAAATAGAACTACCAGACATGTAGCCTACCATTTGGCCACAGGGTTGCCCTTGGTTCACGGCCCCTCGTTTAGGGTCACACAAGAGCCCCAAGGGCTTATGCCCCCACCTATCATGGTCATTTTAACGCCAGGGTTAACAAATAGCCCTCCCGTAGTCTCCGTGCCCATGGTGGCTAGGGAAGAAGGTAGACGAGACAGTATTAGTGTCCCTATAACCCAAACCGAGATAGCCAGTCAGCCCCAGGAACCAACTAATGGCCCACCTGACCTTTTACCAACTACATCCCATAATGAAACCGAGCCCATGGAGGTGGAGATATCCCCTGGAAGGTCGACTGCACTTCCATTAGATCATAACGATCTAAGTCTCCTGGAAAACTACCTGGATGACTTTGACAGGTATTTAAGTAGCGAGGCGAGCCGATCCGGTCCTCTGAGTACCGATGGCACGGCCCTCACTGACCCAACCAGCCCATCTGATTCTGAGCCTCCGATCTTAACACCGGAAGGCTTGACCCATTCAGAAACTGCTGAATCTGAAGGGTTACAGGTTGCCCCTATGCGGCTGAAACAGCTTCGTCAGATGCCCATTTTAGTTGCCACAACCCCACAAATTAGGAGGCAGGTCATAATAGAAAACATTACTCCTGTAGGTTCACCCCTCGTTGAGATCCCGCCGACCCTTCAGTCTTCTAGATCGGCTGACCTAACGGTGATCGACCCAGCAAGTCAATCCGCTGTCCCGGCCCAGGAGGTCAGGGTACCCAGGAAGCGAGCGGCGCCGGATGAAGATCAGGCGGAGCAATCCACTTCGAACGCAGACCTGGACAACATGACGGTGGTTGACTCCTGGGAGGGAGAACAGGAGGGCTAGGTTACAGCGAACCTGGTACCGAAGAGGAGAAAGATCCGACTTCAAGAAGGGGGTGTCAATAAACCAGGTGTCTGTAGTGATGATGCATGACAGACGACCAGCTTTAATAAAAGGTGAAGCCTGATCGAAGTTCTCCTCAGCAGCTGAGTACAGAAGGACTGAACTCCTGCTTTAAATCCAGCTAAAAATGAAATGTGTAACCAAAGTGTTTTACTGTTTTGATAATGTGTAACCAAAGCTGTTTTACTGTTTTACTAATAATCAACAAATAATCAATTAATGGAAGTATTAATCTTTAAGAAATTGTATAATCTTTTGTATGATTGTGTGAATTACTTTTACTTATGAAATGGTAAAGTGAAGAGGCCTCATGTAACAGTGAACATGTCTGAACATGCCCACCAAAGGACAAGCCTGGGCCTGCCTCGAGCAGTAGAAAGAAAGCAAGGAGTCAGGGAGTTCAAACACAACTCATCTCATGATGACGCATCTTTGAGCAAAACAAGTTCTGGAAAGTACCAGAAAACTGGTCTAAACCGGTTGAGGTGCAAAACAGCAGAGAAGTTACTGGAAAAGAAATGATGTAATTTTCCAAAACCCCTCCTTAAGAGGAGGAGGGAAAAAGAAGTCTTTAAATACAGACTGACCGGATTGAACTTGGTCAATGCAGAGTCGAAGCTGAACTGAAGAGCCGAGCAGAGGGAATTACAGGCAAGAGGCAGCTCGTCGGATCAGAAGGAGCCCAAAAAGGAGTTGGATTTTACCAGTTTTGAGACGATGTTGGGAGTTAATTCTTTTCTTCACCAAGATGGGATTGGATTTAAGCTTTCGTTCATCGATACCTAAACTGGATGAGCTTCCTACTTCTATTAATCGCTTGACCTGGGCCCGTCCAAAACTCTGATCTTCTAATTTGGAATAGTTGCACTTGCCTTTGAGGATCGGCCAGTATCTCTCTCCTAGAGAACTGGAAATTTGCCCTTACCCCTATAGTGACTCACTAAGGGTCATTTCAAAATCATGGTAAGCGGACGACCTCATTCTTACTCTGCTCTAATTAAATTGTTTCATCTAATTGGAAGAACAGCATACAGAATAAATTTGGGAGTACTGAATTGGTTACTGGTGAGATTTGCTCGAAGGTGCTTCTGGTTCATGAGGGAGTTGAGGGAGAACATCTTTTGGCTCGATTTGTGAAAGGTCTATGTGAAGGCAGAATCTATAAATCCTCAAGGGCGCTTGAGTTTTAGATTTCATTGGATAACCATCATCGCCTCACTTAGGGAAGAAAGTGTATCCTATGTACTCATGAAATTTAATCATTATAAAATTGTGCCTGATGCTGTATCCCCTGCTAAATCTATTTGATTAAAGCAACGTAAAATGAATAATTCTGGACTATTATTTCACCCTTAATGAACAAAAACATGGTAATGCTTGGTTCACTTAACAACACCAATAAAGGAGGTTTTGACAGGTTTATTAGCTACAGAGTGACAAACACCCTTGTGCCCATTTCCAGGGCCCTAAAAATTACCAGAACAGTTAACAATTGCAACGCTAAAGTGAGAGGTGAGCGGCCACAACGCGAGTTTCTCTGAACCAGAAGATCCATTCCCTGCTGCTTGGAGGTTCGAGGTAACAGAGTGAGATTAGGGTGTGACTCACGGATTTAAGGTCGTTAATATTCTGGATGAATCACCTCGCCGCAGCCTTAATGAGGCTACTTTAGACAGCTACAGGTAATACCACGGCGCTGAAGTAAGCTTCCGGACCCCTTGGAGGAGAGGCTGCAAGCAAAGGTGCTTATCGCTACTTCCAGTGGTTACCTTTGCTTATCAGAAAGCAGACAACGTAAAGAGTGATGTGACATCAAAAGAGACCATTGTTTCATCAGTCTCCATGATGACATCCCTCACCTTATCCACAAAGTCCATGGTGTTCTGTATGTGGTGTTCTGAGCTGCCAACTAAAGGGATGAGTACAGACGCCAGATATTTGGAAACATTGTAAGTGACAGAGTTAATCATACTAACAATAGGTCTTAAAGGTACACCTTGTTTGTGGATTTTAGGTAAACCATACAGACTAGGTGTGGCCTCCTCTGGGTACAGTCTATGGTACATGCTGGTGAAGATTCTCAGTCATCCAGGACATGATGAATTCATTTTCAATTTTTCATTCAATTTTTGTATTGAACGCTTTTTGAAGTCTGTGGTACAGAATGTGGTCCTGCTACAAAATTTTCAATTTGCAATCTATTAACTTCTTCTTGTAACCACTTCCTGGATCTATTTTCAGAGGTTCATAAGTGTTTAAGTCACTAAGGAGTGTCATAACTTTCTCATGATAGTCTTTCTGGTTCAAAATCACTGTGCACCTTCCTTTGTCTGCTGGGAGAATGATGATGTTTTTGTCCTTGCTAAGAGTGGTGAGTGCGTCCCTCTCCTCTCTACTGATGTTGGAAGGTGGTGGTTTGGCATTGCTGATAGTAGAACACCACAGAGCAGGAAACCAAATCATAAAACCTAATTCTCTTGTCACTGATGTCTGATGTGTGCGTTTTTTCTTTCTTTCTTAGGGATTCGGTGGATTTGGACAATCCAGGAGAGGAAGCCAAAGCCAAGCGTCTGCTTGACAGCCTGGTGGCTGAGCTGCAGAGGAAAGCTCAACTTCAGGGAGGAGAGGATGGTTTTCTGCTCAAGATCAAGCTAGGTCACCATGCCACCCAGTTCAAGGTACCAGCTATCTACCACCAGCTCATAACAGCCTCTCATACAATCACTTAAGAAAACGTGTCTATCCAAGTCCATTTCAGAAGGACCATCATTCAAACCTTTTTATATATATTTTTTAAATATCAAAAGCTGTAAAATAAATAAAAACTAGCAGATAATACATTTACAGGGAATTTTGCTTAAGGAAATATTCCAGGTTATCCAACAAACAACTTCTTGACTGAATCTGGTTGTCCTCCAAAATATTTGGATGTCTGCAACCTTTACAATAAAGAAGGCCAATAATGTCAACAAAAACGTAATTTAATAAGTATACTGCACTGTGTACAAAGTTTACTAAATACAAATGTTGTCAGTCGGCCATCTTGTGGACTGCTTGTAATGTTCAAGCTACTGAGTGGAAGACTCTTCAGGAGCTGCTGGAGTAGATCTTCCTCGTTCTTGTCCTCATCCTCAACAGACTTCAGAAGAGAGACTCTCGCAGCATATTTAAAGCAGGAAAAAAAATCGTTTGACAGAAATGTTTTCTACACCTAGACGTTACCCAGGTACCCCCCCCCCCCCCCCCCCAAGCCAATAACACACATTTGAGAGTTGTTGTTTTTATTTTTCAAACAAGTCACTTCTCAAAGGTTTTCATGTAAAGGAGTATACTGTACATGACCTGAGTAAAAATACACGTTATATTGTGTATTTTTACTGTTCACAGTATACATAAAGGTACACAGTATACTATAAGTATACAGTATAAATAGTATAAATGCAGTGCAGTGTTTCCCCTAGATAACTTGCCATGGCGGTGCGCTCATCTTGTCAGTGACTTTTGTCGGTGGTGGCCGGACAGAAACACATCCTGAGCTGTGCAGCACCCTGTTTATACTTATATATTAAGTATATAATTTATATAATATATATATATATTATATAATATATATTTATATAATTTATTGAGCAATTGTTTCCTTTAAACAGTGACATCACTGTCATGTTTTAAATTGTTTAAACAAACAACAATAAAAAAGAAAAATAATGTACCAAGCAGAGAACTCAACAAATAAAAATGTTTAAAGACATTATTGTACGTTGGACGACGTCCTCAAGAAGTTCAGTGTATGTGGTCGAGGTAACGAGCTCGTTTGGGTGAAGCATGATGTCGTGCATCTTCCCAGACTTCAGAGCTTCATTTACAGACTGGACCATTGCAGGTCTGGTGTTCCACCTCATCTCTCCACAGCTGGACCAGTCCAGAGCCTTGTGGAACCTAAAAGTGAAAGAAGACGTGCACGAGTCAAAATAGTGTTACAGTGACTACAAGTTACAATCTGTTGGCCTTTCTTTTGGAAAAAAAACATTTTATCAAAAACAAGAGATTACAATTGAAATTAAGTCAAGAAAATGTGACATTTGCAAATATAAATTACAGTAGCTCAATTTTTCTTTATTTATTTCACTTATCATATTTTATAATTATTTAATCAGCCTCACAGGCAGAGATTACAAGATGTTATGTATCCTACCTGCTCTGTTGAAATGTGTGACAAGGGTCTTTGTGTCCAAAGCTGTTTAACAGCTAGCTTCCAGAGCTAACAGCTTCCTGTGTTAGGTAGAAAAATGTAATTAAATTAAATTAAAGACTAACAAAAAGCTTAGTACTACTTCTTGTGCCATGCTTTATGAAACAGTTATTGAATAAAGTATTTAATTATGTAGGTAAACATAGATGTTTTAAAACCTGTTAAAATACACCAGAATGCAGGAAATAGCAGCTGCTTTATTCAAAAAGTTATGGTGGAGGACCCACAGACCTCGCACCAATATGTCCCCCCTACAATAGATCTAATGCTAATACACACTGCACTGTTCAAGCCAAGAGCCATTGTCAACACTGGGGGGCTAAGGCCCCTAAAAAGGGCTTCTAGCATCGCCCCTGGTGTGAAGAAATGAACTGAGAAAAATAAACTCTAAAATTTAACACAAAAACCTAATTGTACACATGATATTTTAAATCTAAAACTAAAACAGTTATTATAATATATATGTAACCAGTCTTTCATATAAAAACTGGGATTTTTTTTACCGGAGAATGCTTTCACTAACAAGTTTGTTGTTGTACTGACATGGTTACAGCCGACAGTAACTATTTACACAATAAAGCGATGGTTATTCACGTTTTCCTCCATTTCAGTATCCAGCAGGACATCAAAATATAAAAATAGGGATATTTTTACCAGAGAATGCGTGCACTTTAACCAGGAAGAGTTCAGTTGTTTTTTTTTAACATTACAGCAACAGATAATGAAGATTTTAACCTAAAAACCCACATAACAAAGCAGAGCATAATTTTTAAATTAAAAGGGACAAGATGGAGAAAAATGCGCTGTTTGAGTTTATTTACTGACGGTAAACAAAGTCCGACTCCACGCAGCTGAGACTAAACGTTTAAAGCAGCACAGCACCAACACGACTCTCATGAAGTTCAGGGTTATTTCACACTTTCTTGCCCGTTCTGTGAATTTAATAGACAGACAGTTACTTCTTACCTTGCGTTGCAAACTATTTCAGCTACTCTGTTTTTTTGCTGGAGACTTCGCGGCTCTGTGAAAAGCTACGGCTGGAACAGTTGACTTCTGGGTAATAGTTCTTTTGACTTGTGTTAAAGTGCAGGCTTACTGAAAGAAAACTAAAAAAATAGCTGCGCCGTTTTTTTTTTTTTTTTTTGGTTTCATTTTCATTTTTGGTTATTGATCGGTTCCCACTCCTGTCTGCTCCCGTTAACTTTCAGTCGGGTCACGTCCCGGTCACGTGAGTTGTAAGGAGGTTGACTCCGGTCCCGCCGGAATCCTGCCGGAATCACGTGACCTGCGGTACTCCCGAAAAAATGTCATCCTCTACTCTGTTGACGGGGCGGTGCGCCCCACTTGTATAATGGTAGGAGAAACACTGCAGTGTACAGTAGACTAAAGTATAAAAGTACACAGTATACTGTGTACATGACCTTAGTAAAAGTACACAGTCTTTTGGATAAAAGACGAAACATTTCAGCAAAGAAAAATCTGTTCAGAGGACCTGATTCAACCTTGTTAGATACACAGTATACTGTGTACTAGTACTACAGTCAAGTACACAGTATACTGTGTACTTGACTGTAGTACAAGTACACAGTATAGTGTTCTCTAATGAAGCAGCATCCAGACCAACATCATTCTGAAGGAAGAGACGGTTTGAACAAGTTTTCTGTTATTTCAGTGTTTTTCAGATATATTTTAATAAATAACATTGGATTTCATTTACAGAGTATAAATTAACTTAAACTTATTTGGGTGGCTGTAGCTGAATGGTTGGAGCAGTCATTCTCCAATGCAAGAGCTGGGGTTCAATTCCACCAGCAGTCATATTTTGAAGTGTCCCTGGGCAAGACACTGAACCCCTCATTGCCTTTGATGTGTGTCCCATCAGGGTATGAATGTGATAAAACTCTGATTATTCTTTTTATAGATCTAGTTTAGAGCTGTATGAATGGGTAAATGAGGCACAGATTGTTGTAAAGAGCTTCGAGTATCTTGATAAGATAGAAAGGAGATATATAAGTACAGTCCATTTACCATTAAAAGTAATTATTTGTTAATTTGCCAGACTGACAGATTTCTCTCCTAAATTGATTATTTCATTCAAAGGGTTTATATTTACTGGATTTCAGCTCATGTCATTTAATACTATGTATTTTTTATATTCGATCTTGTATTAAATTACATTTATCACAGTACAGTTACCTCTCAGTATGATTTTAAATATAATCAAGTTTATCTCACCCAAACAGACACAACACCTTGTTTGGATGTAGGAGCGTTCATGTAAATAATGTCACCATAGTCAATGGAGGGAAGGAAAGTCACAGATACAAGGTGTTTCCTAACATTCAGAGTTAGATGGGATCTGTTTCTGAAAAACAAACCCAGTTTAACTTTCAGTTTCTTTACCAAGTTTTCCACATGGAGCTTAAAAGAGAGATGTGAGTCGACCAAGATACTCAAATATTTATAGGAATCAACAAACTCAATGGGGACACCATTTGAGGATAAAATCAGAGGAAGAACTGCTGGGACCAACTTCCTGTTTGAAAACAAGCATCCCTTTGGTTTTATCAGCATTGAGGACAAGTTTGAGGTGAAACAAATCAGTCTGGATGATGTTGAATGCAGATTGCAAAAGCTAGAAAACCTTAGCGACTGTTTTAGCTCGACAATAAACAATTGTGTCATCAGCATAGAAATGTATGGATGCATCAGGGATACTTTGACCTACGTTACCTATGTAGATTGTAAAGAGGGTGGGTCCTAAGACTGAGCCTTGTGGTACACCATTACTGACTGTTAGATAACTGGAAGAAGTACCATTATGTTGAACACATTGCCTCTGATCTAAAAGATAGAGAACCAACCAATGGTGTGATCTGAGAAACCAATTTCTGAGAGCTTATGACAAGATGTTCTGATCCACAGTGTCAGAATCTTTAGACAGATCTAAGAAAAGTGCAGCACAATAATCCTTAGCATCCAGTGCTTCAACAACATCATTAAGAACCTTCAGTGAAGCAGTGGTTGTGCTGTGTTGCTTCCTGAAACCAGATTGATGTGGAGGTAAGATGTTAAATGAGTCCAGGTAATTTTTGATTTGAGAGTTTATCAGTTTTTCTAGAACCTTGGCTAAAATGCAGAGTTTAGAGATTGGTCCATAGTTGTTCAGTGAGGTGGGGTCACCTCCCTTCAGCAAAGGAAGAACAAAGGCTGTTTTCCAAGTGTCTGGATGGAGTTTTGTCTTATGGAGAGATTGAAGATGTGGGTCACAGGGACTGTGATGATATGAGCAGCCAGCCTTAAGAAATAAGGTGGAAGTTCATCTGGACCTGCAGATTTTTTAGGGTCAAGATCTTTTAACAGTTTATTGACCTCACTGACTGAGAATGGAGAAAAAGAGAAGGTGTGATTACCTTAAGATAATCTTCTAGGAGAGATATAGTTTGTAGAGGTTTGACTTTTAGGGAAAGTGGCTGATTTTCCATTAGTAACTGTGTCAAATAAAGAACTAGAAGCAACAAAATGTTTGTTGAAACAGTTCAGGATCTCGTGCTTATTTGACACAGGAACAGAGTTAACAAGAAGTTGTGATGGGAGGTCAGATGATTGGGGGGTGCCTGAGAGAGATTTGATGGTTTTCCAGAATCTGTTAGGGTCATTTTAGATTTTTGGAGGTCTGATATAAGAAATAGTTGTATTTTGCTGCTTTGACAGCAGTTGTGCATTTATTCCTCATCTGTTGAAAACTCAACCAATCAGTGTCTGAGCCAGATTTTCTCGCTGCGGACCAAAGATGATCTCTCCTGTGCACCTCAAGGCATGATCTGTGTTTGTACAAGATGAAAATAGGTTGTCTCAGACAAACAAAAAACCTTTGATGTCGACCCCTGATTTTAGATGCAAGTCTTCGATCAGCTCACTATGCTGAAAACTGCTTCGACAAGCATCGATGTGACGCTTGGTGCTTTTTGTGGTGTATGTGTCATTTTTCTGAGCATTACACAGTCTGACTTTGGGGTGAACTTACCAGGACGTCCACTGCTGGGAGGATTGGCAGTTGTCCAAGATTATTCACAAGTTGAAAACATTTTCTCACTGTAGAACGACGGACTCAAAATACTTTGGAAATGATTTTTAATGTTTCCCAGTAATCATGCTGTTAGCTAACAAACTGGCTCTGAGCTCCTGGCCTCCATCTGTCAGATGTAATTTTTTTTCTTGTTTAATCATTACAGTGTTTATTTTTGGTCAAAAGCATCTGCCAGGAAAAAGACAAAGAGGAGCTACAGTGTATGGATGCAGTTAGAGAGGACATGGCGGTAGCTGGAGTGAGGACAGAGCATGCAGAGGACAGGGTGAGATGGACTCGCTGTGGAGACCCTGAAGAGGGAAAAGCTGAAAGAAGAAGAGTTTATTGATCAGAACTGTTGGTGTCCTGCTGTGTAACTATTCATGTGTGACCAGCAGCTGCTATAAAACAAACAAGCAAACAATAAAGTGTGTTGTGTTAACCAAACTGTAATGTCAGAACATAACTATTATTTGTCTTGAAGTCTAACGTCAGTGTTGTTGTCTGTGCAGAGCACGTATGACCGCTGTCCTTTTGAACTTGTGCGCTGCATTAAACACATCCTGCAGTCGGAGCAGAGGCTCGTTCAGGAAGCTACAAATGTAAGTTTTGAAGGCAGTACTTTGTTCCTAAACTCTAAATATTGTCCCAGAAGAATAAATCAATCTACTACAAATGTATCTGTAAATCTTTCGCTAATAATCTGACCACACTGAAAACTAAAGCAGCGTGTTTGTTAATGCTCTGTGCAGACAAGCAGTGGGAGTGAGGGCCAGGCCATGGACACCTTGTCCCATCACCATCAGCAGATCAACCAAGCCTTTGAGGAGCTCCGTCTGGCGACACAGGAAACTGAGAATGAACTGAGGAAGTTACAGCACAGTCAAGAATATTTCATCATCCAGTACCAAGAAAACCTGCGCATCCAGGGTGAGAAAGACTTAGTGAACTAATTGTGAGCGTTACTGAGTTTAAAGGCTCATATGGGACATTATCTGATTATCAAGAGCCGAAGGGGAACAAGAGTTTACATTATATAAAATATAGTAATTTTATTGTCCATGTAATTTCAGTGTAGATCACCTTTTATTACGTAGTTATGAACCACTTTCACGATTATTTTAAATCTGTGAATGCTACTGTTATCATTTTAAGCCTAAAATGATAGTGTTCTATTTCGTATAAGCTTCGCCCTTTAAGGCTGTCGCTTGGTGGGTTTATCCCGTTATGCGTAGCATTTGCACTGAAAAATTTAGTCCACGCCCACCTGCTATGTGGGCCCCACCCGGTCCGTATAAATTACGTTAAGAGCGGGAAATCGGCTCCCATTTTTTCTTCAGCGAGCTAATAGCTCTGTCAGAAGAACAAAGAAGGAAAATTGTGTAGATAACCAACCTTTGTTAAGGATGCTTGGCCCGGCAGTCGACCTCCGGTCGTCCGGTGAGTTCTCCTCCCCGAGGAAAAGCTGACGAGCAGTCTTATTTCAAGGTAAGCGCCGAGGAATATTTCTCAGTGAAAGGTAACTACACGCTGGACAACGCCATCTTGTAATTTTCCTCTTATCGCCGACCCTCGGAGCGAATCAGATGGTTCCTCCGGGACAGGCGCGCTCAGCTGCAGCCCCCGCTGCTCATTCCCTCCTGGGGAGCGTAGTGTCGGTGGAGGAGGGCTGAGTGAATGCTCACCCCATCCCACCTCGTTTCGCATCGGCGATCACACCGATCCCGGCCGACGGCGCCCTCAGGGGTTGCCCGGCGTAACCCAGGAGGCGGCTGACATGAAGGGACCCCTTTTTTCTTCGTCCCACGCCTTTCCCGCCAGTTCGGATGATCCGGCGGGAAGGTTGTTTACTGGGTTCCATTCCGGCTCACCGTCTTGATCCATATGGCTTTGTGTTCCAACAGGACGTCCTACGGGCGAGGCCACAGACTGTTCTTTCCTGGTAGATTGGGGGAGCCGGTCTCCAGTCCGCACCCATCACCAGAGTGGAGGGGTTCACCGAGCGGGGCTATCCCTCGGTAACCCCCCTTGAGCCAAGCCTCGCGAAAGCTTTCGGAGCGAAGCTGTCCAGGTTGGAGCAGCGTCCCGTCCCTCCTGGGAAACACGACCAGACGGTGACCACGCTCTCCAATCGAGCCCATCAATGTGCTTTTCAGGCAGCCGCAGCTAACAACAACGTGGCGCTGCTAGCATGTAGCATGTCCAAGAGGCTGGAGGCCGCAGACCTGCCTTAGGAGACCAAGAGCTCCCTCTGTAAGGCAGTCGACGCCATCCTCAATATATGTGCCTTTTCTACGGTTTGCCTGTCCAGGATTGCAGCGTGGATGACGATGATTCAACGATCCACCTAGCTCCGTCACTCCCCTTCGCTGCCGGAAAAACTGCACAAAGACCTGATGGAGGGCCCCATCACGGCGGACGCACTGTTCAGGAGCAGCTTCAAGCCATGCTGGCGAACTCGAAGCAGTCGGAGGAGGTGCCAGAGGCTGTGCGCCACCTCATCAAGCCGCGAGGCTCATCCCGCCCCCCGGCCCGCTGGAGAGACCGTCGTGAGCAGAGGCAGAACGACGTTCCACGGCCGCCGCGGCGTCTCGCTCAGCTCCACCACCAGCCACTCCCGTCAGAGACCAGCCCTCTTCATCCCGGCAACCTGCAGTTCACCGTTTCCCCAGAGATCGCCTGCAGACAGCGCTCTGGGCAAACAAATCGCAGAGCTCACGGGGGAGAAGATTTAAAAAATGACGGTCTGCGGAGGGTGTGTGTAAAAGTGACACGAAAGTTGAAATAAATCATCATTCAATGATCAAAGTGTCTGTTTTTAGCCAGTCTGTAAGCTCGGATGAACTCACAGCGGCTGCGCACACATCCTCCACACATAACGAGCCGGTGTCCTTAAATAAAGGTTTTTTAAACTCACCGTCGCTCCAAGACATGACGAGACGCTTATACGACACGATGGTAAGCGAAAAAACTCGTTGTCAACCCGAGCTGCACGATCTTCACCCAAGCGGTGTCAAACGCGCACTCGTGCGATGCAAACAGCCTCCATCCAAACGGCGCTGCGTTGATGATGGTGCACACACAGCTCCCCAGCGCTCACCGGCTCACATCAGTATAAATGTGGGACCGCAGGCCGGGTCCGGTGAAAGTCCTCGTTTTTCAGCAAAACAACACACGCCTCACCGAAGCAAATGCGTGCGGCCGCGACGCGGGCAGCCGTCACCCACCTCGTCTCAGCGCTCGTCAGCTCACGGCAGCACAAGCATGAGACAGCTGAACGAACCCGGTGACGAGTCTCGCCTCCAGCGAGAGCGGCGTGCGTCCCTCCAGCGAGAGCGGCGCGCGTCCCTCCAGAGAAAACGTGTGCTCCCGCGGGGCTCGCAGCCTTCACTCCAACAGCACGGCGTAGATGAAGTCACGCTCTCCGCCTCTCAACGTTCGCACAGCGCCGTCGAACGCGCAGCCCCACGGCGTCATCAGCTGTCACACGCTTCGCCTCAGCACACACCGGCCCACCTGTACATGAAGGTTGGTCCGCAGTCCGAACGCAGCGCACGAGCGTGTTCAGAGCCTTTTCGAGGAAGCCTCGCCTTGGGTCACGCGGAAAACATTCCCGCGACGCATGACGGCGGTTGAGGGGCGGACTGGTGACAGCCGTACAAAACATGACGCATCACTTAAACGCACGTTCACTCCACGAACGTTACGTAAAGTGGATAAAACATGCTCGCCGGTCAGATGGATGGACAGAGTGTTATGCAAATGGTTACAAGTTACAGTTTGCAACCCGACCCCCTCCGTTCGGAGGAGTTATAGAGACGGTCCTGTCATCACCAGACCAAATCTCATCCCTAAATGCAGAAGTCCAAGTGCTTCTGATAAAAGTAATCTCCAGGGAGAGGAAAACACAGGGTTTTACTCACGTTACTTCCTGGTTCCCAAACGGCCCGGAGGGATGAGACCGATTTTGGATCTGTCAGCTCTCAACAAGGCGATCATGGACAGACCGTTTCACATGTTGACAACCAGACAGCTGTTGAACAACATCCAGAGAAACGACTGGTTTGTTTTCCGTCGACCTAAAAGATGCTTATTTTCACATACCGATCATCCCAAAACACAGAAAATTCCTGCGTTTTCTACTTTCAGGAGATGAAGTATCAGTACAACGGGCTGCCGGTCGGGTATTCCCTCGCGCCTCGTACGTTCTCAGTGTGTGGAGACAGCCCTGCATCCGTTACACAGAGCAGGGATGAGAGTTTTGTTTTACCTGGACGACCTGCTGCTGCGGTCACGCTCCAGACAGGAAGCAGTGATGCAGGCTCAGGTGTTGACATCACACCCGTCAAATCTGGGCTTCGCCATAAATTGGAAAAAAAAGCTAGATTTTCCCAGCCCAGACAATTGTTTATCTGGGAGTGGAGTTAAATTCAACCACCATGAAGGCTCGTTTATCACGAGAATCGACACTTTAAGAGACCAGCTCCGCCACGTAAGACCTGGCAGAGTGGTAACAGCCGTCTCCGTCATGAAGCTGTTAGGAATGATGTCATCAGCTCACACAGTGGTCCCGCTGGGTTTATTACACAGGAGACACCTCCAGAGGTGCGTCTGTGTGGATCCAGCAAAACAAAAGAGACGGATGATCACTGTTCCTCCCTCCGTGAGAGCAGACCTCCGACACTGGGGAAACACCCTGGTTCTGTCGGAGGGAGCCCCCGTCAGCAGACCCACGTCACGTGTCAGTCTTCACGGACGCGTCGCTGTCAGGCTAGGGGGGGGGACATGCCTATCTCAAGCAGTAGGGGCGCTGTGGCCCCATCACACATCAGCCCACATAAATGTTTTGGAGTGTCGCACGGTGCTGAATGTGATTCAGCACTTTGCTCCCGTGCTACAGAATCAACATGTGTTGATTCACACAGACAACAAGGTGACTGCTGCGTACATAAACCAGCAGGGGGGTATGCGCTCAGCCCAGATGTTACACATTGCGCGAAAGCTACTGTGTTGGGCTCACCAAAATCTGCTCTCCATCAGAGCAGTTTACATACCCGGTGTTCTGAACAAAGGGGCGGATGTGATGTCCAGGGGCGGCCCACGTCACGGGGACTGGACTCTCCATCCAGACCTGATGACTTAGACGTGACAGAAATTTGGCAAAGCAGCTGTGGACCTGTTTGCGACACGAGAGAACGCTCAGTGTCAACTATGGTTTTCCCTGAGACCGCGAGACAAACCACCACTGGGGGTGGATGCGTTTGCCCACAGCCCATGGCCCAAAACGCTTCTGCACGTGTTTCCTCCACCTCGTCTGATTTTACGGTTCCTGAACCGAGTTCAGGAGGAGGGATTGACAGCTCTCCTGGTGGCCCCCGAGCGTGTGAACACACCATGGTTCTCAGCCCTACAACGCCTGCTGTCGGGGCGCCCATGGAAACTGCCATGGAGGGAGGACGCTCTCCTCCAGGTAGGAGGAGCGATCAGGAGTTACCCAGAAATAGGCCAGCACCTGTGGGTCTGGCCACTGAGCGGTTCCGCTTAGAGAGGATGGGTCTCCCACAGGAGGTAGTGCGCACAATCCAGGATTCACGTGCTGCATCTACCACAGCGCTGTACTTATCAAAGTGGACAGTTTTTCAGCGCTGGTGTACAGAGAAAGGTGTAGAGGCCACCTCATGTCCATTAGGCGGCGTGCTGTCTTTTCTACACAGCTGATGGACAGGAAGTTGGCATTCAGCACGATTAAAACGTACGCTGTAGCCATCTCTTCCTGCCACGAAGGGTTCGGAGACGGAACAGCTTTTAATCACCCACTGATGAAGTGGTTTCTAAAAGGCGTACAGAGACGCAGGCCTGTTTCACGCCCACTTGTTCCACAGTGGGATTTAATACTGGTCCTGCGAGCCCTGATCAAAGCTCCATTTGAGCCTCTGGATCAGGTTCCAGTTAAATTCTTGTCTCTTAAAACAGCCCTGCTGCTGTCTTTAACATCCGCTAAGAGAGTGAGTGATTTATCTGACCTCTCTGTCGCTCCGTCATGTCTTAGAATTCAGGCTGATGGGCAGCTCAGCTGATTTAAGACCAAACCCAGCTTTTATGCCTAAAAACATCACAAGCTCTTTTAAATCAAGAGCGATATCGTTGGAGGGGTTCCCCCCCCCCCACACACACACACACACAGATCAGAAGAAGAAGCATCTTGCCATCTTCTCTGTCCAGAGCGGGCGTTGACGTGTTACATAGTGTGCACGGCTGTAATTCGCCAAACTCAACATCTGTTTGTGCATTATAGAGATGCATCTGCAGGTCGCCCGTTATCCACCCAGCGCTTGTCACACTGGCTGTGTGAGGCCATTTCTGAAGCCTACAAGCATCAGATTTAGAGCCTCCTGTCAACCTCAAGCACACTCGACCAGGGGTATCGCATCTTCGACTGCCTTGCATAATGGTATGACAATGCAGGATGTTTGCACTGCGGCTGCGTGGTCAACACCCTGCTCATTCATTCGCTTTTATCTACGTGATGTGACGGCCCATTCCATGACACATTCTGTCCTTAGTGCTCTAACAGAGTGAATATTGTTGTTTTCATGGAACTCTGTTTAAGCTCACTTCTGTCTGCATGCTTCACAGTGTGAGATGATGTTATCAGTCACAAGTTGTCTGTTATTTTGGTTCTATTGTCACTAATCAGTTCATTTGTTATTATTAATCTGTCTATACTGCTCAGCCATGAACGCATAGTTACACAACATGCGTCTGTGCATGGCTCACGTAATTACGCAATGTGTAATTACGCACATAGGGAGCTGAGTGACAAGACGTTTTTTGGGCAAGCTTCTGCTTCATACGGTGTTCGAATGGACCCAGTGAGGTGAGGACCACATCTGCTTCGCCCTTAACCCACCAAGCGACAGCCTTAAAGGGTGAAGCTTATATGAAATAGAACGCTGGTTACGTACTGTAACCCCAGATTCTATGAGTATAAGCGTAGCCCTTTAAGCGTCGGGCCTCACTGGCTCCTGAATGGCTGAAGAAAAAAGCTATTTTTGGGAGCCGATTTCCCGCTCTTAACGTAATTTATACGGACCGGTGGGGTCCACACAGCAGGTGGGCGTGGACTAAATTTTTCAGTGCAAATGCTACGCATAACGGGATAAACCCACCAAGCGACAGCCTTAAAGGGCTACGCTTATACTCATAGAATCTGGGGTTACAGTACGTAACCAACGTTTTATAGCCTGGTGACTGTTTTTGGTTTATATCATCTTACACAACACACACTCTGCCTATACTACTGTATTATAAATAGTCTGTCCTTATCAATGTTCCAGTACATATTGAGCATTATTATTGATGTTGTTTCTCTTATTACTTTATATATTGTTTTTAACATTAGGAACTTTTTGTGTGAATCTTTTTATCTGTTGCTGCTGTTACACTGAATTTACCATCCGTGGGACAATAAAGGCTGTTTCTATTCTATTCTATTCATATGTCTGTTAAAAACCACAAGACAAGCAACTCCTTTAGTTCCTCTTATGAATAATTTCTATAGTCGAGTGTGGCTCTGGAACAGAATAACGGGACTCTGCTATCTACTGGTGTAAAAGCGTCCATATAATCAGAGAATAACTGCTGTACATGCTGTGTAGATTGTTCTGCTGCTGTCAAGATATATTAATAATTGTAGTTTTTGTTTTTCTAATTATTAATTCAAAATGTACATCTAGGACTCTAGACTTGTGCTCCAGGAACCATAGTACTGGAAAGTTTTTATGTAAGTCCAATATTTTTGTACTTGATATAGAATAGAACAGAACAGAACAGAACAGAACAGAACAGAATAGAATAGAATAGAATAGAATAGAATAGAATGGAATAGAAACAGCCTGTATTGTCCCACGGGGGAAATTTCAAGTGTAACAGCAAATGTTCAAAAATAAAGAAATAAGATAAACAATAACAACAATAATAATAACATTCACTACCTGGTCAAAAAAAGGTCACACACTGTTTCGTTGGACCACCTTTACTTCACCTGCACTTTAGGTTTTTTGGTGGATTTTGTCGAGCTATATTTTGTGCAGATTTTTCAGTCTAAATAACAGAAAGATCATTTTTATTTTTTTATTTTTATACTTTTAGACCGAGTACTTTACTAAATAAAGTCCATCCATCCATCCATTATCTTTACCCGTTTGTTCCATTTTGGGTCACGGGGGTCGCTGGTGCCCATGTCCAGCAATCACTGTGCGAGGGGCGGGGTACACCCTGGACGGGTCGCAAGTCCATCGCAGGGCCACATAGAGACAAACAACCATTCACTCTCTCACTCACACCTAGGGACAATTTAGAGTTACCAATCAGCCTAACATGCATGTTTTTGGTCTGTGGGAGGAAACCGGAGTACCCGGAGAAAACCCACGCATGCACGGAGAGAACATGCAAACTCCACCCAGAAAGGCCCTTGGACCGGGGTTTGAACCAAGGACCTGCTCGCTGAGAGGCAGCAGCTCTACCAGTTGCGCCACCGTGCTGCCTACTAAATAAAGTAACTGCAGTAAAATTAACACTTGCTTTGCAGTATTATACAGGTCCTTCTCAAAAAATTAGCATATTGTGATAAAGGTCATTATTTTCCATAATGTAATGATAAAAATGAAACTTTCATATATTTCAGATTCATTGCAGACCAACTGAAATATTTCAGGTCTTTAATTGTTTTAATACTGATGATTATGGCATACAGCTCATGAAAACCCAAAATGCCTGTCCCAAAAAATTAGCATATTTCATCCCACCAATGAAAGACAAGTGTTTTTAATACAAAAAACTCCAACCTTCAAATAATCATGTTCAGTTATGCACTCAATACTTGGTCGGGAATCCTTTTGCATGAATGACTGCTTCAATGCGGCGTGGCATGGAGGCAATCAGCCTGTGGCACTGCTGAGGTGTTATGGAGGCCCAGGATGCTTCGATAGCGGCCTTAAGCTCATCCAGAGTGTTGGGTCTTGTGTCTCTCAACTTTCTCTTCACAATATCCTACAGGTTCTCTATGGGGTTCAGGTCAGGAGAGTTGGCAGGCCAATTGAGCACAGTAATACCATGGTCAGTAAACCATTTACCAGTGGTTTTGGCACTGTGAGCAGGTGCCAGGTCGTGCTGAAAAATGAAATCTTCATCTCCATAAAGCTTTTCAGCAGATGGAAGCATGGAGTGCTCCAAAATCTCCTGATAGCTAGCTGCATTGACCCTGCCCTTGATAAAACACAGTGGACCAACACCAGCAGCTGACATGACACCCCAGACCATCACTGACTGTGGGTGCTTCACACTGGACTTCTGGCATTTTGGCATTTCCTTCTCCCTAGTCTTCCTCCAGACTCTGGCACCTTGATTTCCGAATGACGTGCAAAATTTGCTTTCATCCGAAAAAAGTACTTTGGCCCACTGAGCAACAGTCCAGTGCTGCTTCTCTGTAGCCCAGGCGAGATGTTTCTGACGCAGTCTCTTGTTCAAAAGTGTCTTGACCTGGGGAATGCAGCACCTGTAGCCCATTTCCTGCACACACCTGTGCACGGTGGCTCTGGATGTTTCTACTCCAGACTCAGTCCAGTGGTTCTGCAGGTCCCCCAAGGTCTGGAATCGGCCCTTCTCCACAATCCTCCTCAGGGTCCGGTCACCTCTTCTCATTGTGCAGCGTTTTCTGCCACACTTTTCCCTTCCCACACACTTCCCACTGAGGTGCCTTGATACAGCACTCTGGGAACAGCCTATTGGTTCAGCAATGTCTTTCTGTGTCTTACCCTCTTGCTTGAGGGTGTCAATGATGGCCTT